GGGCGGGAGCCGGGCCCGGGGCCCAGGCCGCGGCGCGGTTCGCTGTGAGGGCGTCGCGGGGAGCCGGGGTTTTGTAACTGCTGGGCGGTGGGTCGGTGCCGGTGTTAGCGCGGCGAGCTGGGGGAACGTTGTGTGGGGACAAAAACCGGGCAAAAGTGAAATTAATTAATGTTTCCCGTTTTCTCCTTCTTGGTCCTCAGGAAACAAGGACGAGTCTGCAGGAAACGGGTCTTTCTTGGAGGAAAAGGGGGAGCCAGGATGAGTCTGCAGGAAACAAGTTTTTCTTATTGGAAACAGAGAAACAAGTCAGTCTGCAGGCTGCAGCGTCTCGGCACCGTTCCTCTCAGCTGGTTCTGGTTGGGTTTGGGGCAGGAACAGCCCCGCTTTGCTCCACAGGCTCTTGTTGCATTTGTGGTGCCTGTTTCACCCGAGTCCATCCAAGGGACATGGAAGCCCTGTGTGTGGGGTTTCTGTTTTAGGGACTTATCTCCTGTCTTGCTGAGTGTGTGATAGAGAAAACGTGAATTCCTTCAATGTGGTTTTAGTCCATGGTGCATAGCTTAGGTGGACTATGAGAAGAATAGTAGTAAGTTTTACCATGAGTAAAGGAAGGTGTGTGGCATACAGAGAGGAGAGCAGGGCTCACCACAAGTCTTTTTGCAGTGTTGGCTAAAATATAACATATTGCTGCTTGTTTAGGTGTTTTATTTTTGGGTGATGGACCGCAATACAATGGTTAGCAAGTGCTATCAGTGCAGCTGTCTAAAGATACAGACTAGATTCTCGATAACGTGCTATGCTGTGTAAAGCAAACTCCTGTATGTCAGGTCGTGTTGCAAGAGAAAGAGGGAAAGAAGGCATTTAAAACATGGAAAACGGGGAGAAGGAAAGAATTATTCCACTGATGCTCCATGGGAGCTTGCAACTGAGAATTATGTGGGGTTTCCAATCTTAGATTTTCTAGGTGAAAGAGGCAGGGAGAAGACTAGTTTTACATTTAAAAAAATCTTAGAGGGATTGAATAAGCTAAATGGTCCAGTATGTAATTTGTTTTGACTGACTTCATTCTTAGAAGCTCAGAGGAGATGAACTGATTTGGCATTGTTTTAGGATTTATTCTGTGGCAAAAAAAAAACCCAAAGCCAGGTAGCTGATCTGTGTAATCTTATGAGTCAGAGATAATAGCCTCTGTACGCAGCAGTGAGCGTTAAGGCTTTCCCTTCTGAGTTAGAGAATAACCATGTGGCATAGCTGTTCCTACCAGCACTGATGCACAGAGAAACAGAGAAGACTTGCAGATTTTTTCCAAAGCTTTCTAAAAAGCACTCAGTGAATTGCAGTCTCTCATGATCAGTTCTGTAGTCTCAAACCAGACGTGTTGAGGGAGCAGGGGGTGGGATGACTTATGGAAGAAGCACGTAGCGTGGCTGCTGCAGGGCTTCCTACCTGAAAACTCTTTGTCACCTGTGACTGTCAGATGAGACTCGTTCTGGTCCATGTGGCAGCTGGGTCTCCCTGCTGTGAATTTGTGATTTTTCTTGCAGAGGGTAATACTTTGCAGTTATATAGATGCCATCTTTTAGAAACATTCTTCTTGAGGTTGCTTGTGCTGGTGTTACCTAAATTTATAGTGGAAAGGATGAACAGGAGTTGGTTTTTTTTTCTATTTGCATTTTTAAGTATTTTACTTTTTTTTTTAATTTGCATGGGTATTTCACATCACAGGAGGGGAACACAGAATGGAGATGATTAAGTAAATTAAGTCTGAGGAAGTGTAATACTTGATGTTATTTTTTTATTCCTTTTTCCAGTGGCTTAGATTTCTAGTTAATACCTGTTTTAAAAATTAAACAGTTTTAGAAACATCCTATATGTAATTTTTTAAAAAATCTTTTCTCTTTTTCATTCAAGGTGGGGATAAACTACAGTACCTGAAGTAAGATTGCTCTGGATACTGATTTTTCCATTAAATTAATTTCAGCCTGTTAATTGCCTCACTGGAAGTGAATTCTTCAGGTTTCCTGCCATGGCTCTGGCCGCTGCGTTGCTGAGCGGCGCTTACTCGCGTGTCAGATGCTGCAGGCACAAAGGTTTGTGTCCCTCACTCAGACCTCTCCTCAGTGATTCCGTGTCAAAATTGTACAGCAGCTACAGGAGGCCAGGGGCACAGCCTGAGAAAAAACCGTCTTGGCAAGATATTGATTTCAGTTTTAAGAAAGGCTTTGATGTCTTAAAGACTCAGCTAAGCATGCTGAAGGAGGAGACCGAAAATTTCTTAAGAGGACCTGGAGGCCATCCACTCAGTCAGTACCTGTTGGAACAGACAAGGGTGTTGTGGGAGTTTCGGAGCCAAGAAGATTTAAATAAATGGGTTATTTCCTCCGATGTAGAGATTGGAGGGAAAAGTGAAGTTTACCTCAAACTGGGGAGGAATAACCAGGGTGCTCTGCTCTATGGAACCCTCAATACAGAAGTACCTCGTGATGGGGAGACCAAATACAGTGGATATTGTAGCATGAGAGCCAAGCCACCCATGGTGAGTACAGCTTCATGTCTGCACAGCTTCTCTTTCTGAATCAGAGAGATTTGTGTGTCCTCCCAGTGACAAGTGGACTGTTGTTTACTGTGGCTGAAACTGATTGCTTTCAGGCCTATTAGATACTCCCTCAGGGGT